ATTAGAGGACAGAAAACCCAGCAACTAAAACAGTGAAAAACTCCAACGTTCTAGATCAGTAAGAACAGTCTTAAAGTCCATTTGCAGGTTTAGCCCTCTTATCAGTGGTATTTCTCCAGAGATGGACTTGGAAATATTCCTTTCTTCCCCACATCAGTTCTACTTGTATCTTTTTTCCACATCAGGGAATTCTCAAAATTGGTAATGAGGATTTCTCCTCAAGATGGTACTCATATAATTTCTTTGATTTTAATGTCTATCCTGAGGATGAATTTGTAATGTATTAACTATCACAGAGTAAGTGAAATATAATTCACGTTTATGATTTGTGCATCTTATTTCATGTTTTGACCTATAGAATGTTCTGTCTTGTTTCAGAATTTAGAGAAAAAATTGGAAGGTAGATTTAGTGTGCACAGGGAAGTAATTGGAATAAGAAAGAAGCAATGTGAACCTGTAGAAATGGTGCTATGGTTTCCTTTCACATTTGAGTCTTTTTTCAGCCCTACATTTTTATTATATTCTTGGTGGCCAGAGGTGAACATTTTTAACCTTTACATCTCTGAATATCTTAAAGCAAAAAAAAAAAAAAAAGATTTTACACCATTTTTGAGTGTAAAAATATGTGTTAAATTTGTCTTTTGTAAAAGTTCAAACACATGAAAAATAAACTATTATTATGAACCCACACATACACGTTACATAGTTTTAGCAGTTACCAACTTGTCACCAATAATATTTTATCAGTACATTTCTACCATTCCCCCTTTATTTTGAAGCAAATTCCTGCATAGGTACATAGTTGTATTAGAGGTACACACATTCACAATAAATTGTAATATCTCAACTCAAAAATAATACTATAAACAAAGTATTAACCCAAAAGGAGCAGTTAATTTTGTGTTATTGAAGAGGACAAATTTAGAGAAGTCTTTGAAGAAAAAAATGACATTTAACCTATACTTTGAAGAATGGACAAGAATTTTCCTGGAAGAAAATATTTTAAATATTGGTACAGTATGAAGAAAGGGGTACAAAATGTGAAAATATATGAATGAGTAGAGAACACAGTATGTTGATATTGAAATGCTTTGAAAGTCACAGAAGTTGAAACTGTAAGACTCATCTGTGGTTATATTTTAAAGGATGTTCTGAGAAACTAATGACTATAGTTTACTTATCCATATTTTCTCCATCTTTGTAAATAAAATATAAACTACCTTTTCTATATCTTGTAGATTTATGACAAAGTCCAGTTTTCAAAGATGTCAAAACTAAATGACTGCTTGTTTTCTGTGGATAGTTTGTTTTTTGAAAACCCAGATGAAATTGAAAAGTAAGTCTATCTCAAGGGCTAATAATACAGTATATTATTTTAGAGTTTAAAAAAATTAGGGAGTTTATTTTCTTCCTGATAAATACACAAATAAAAATGGCAGATCAACAGAACAATTGTATATTTAGAAACATGGAATTCAGATTCACTGGTAAGTAAGGTTCAGCATCTTAAATGTTATAGTTTTAAAAATTCAATTAATTCCTGCCAGTTTTATGTTCATTTGCTTTACATTTCTAATTTGTCAAGTTGTTCTTGACTAAGGTAAAGACTGGAAATAATGGTCAAAGAGTAGCTGAGAACAAGAAGTGATGACATGTTTTGAAAACAGAATGAGCATGTACCAAAGACTAACTGTGATAAACGTATTTAGCTCAGGCAATATGTAGGGATGGAAATAAAGATGTGAGACCATGTAGATTGCTCTCAATTCTGAATTTTATATGTATTTGTTATAATAACCTATTTTAATGAACCCCCTTATTGCTTTCACTCCTTCATTCTAATAGTAATTCAAATATTGATTGAATGCTGAAAGGATATAAAAAGAAAGAAACTCACTTCTAAAAGTTAAAATCTAATTGAGTTTAAACACACATATGGGAAGTCATTAATAAATAATCTGACTATGTAAATCATGATCCAGACTGGAATACTTTTTTTAACCATATATTTTAATATTCTGTATTTAAACTCATTACATAGTATGATATAACATATCCATGACTCATATTCAGGTTTTTTGGACACAGAATCAGCATTTGAAATATTCTATGGTTAGTTATAAAGGAAATACTTTTAAATATTAAAAACTTATGATGGTAGTGGTGGCAATGATGATGAAGGACAATAGTTTGTTCTTGTTTGAGAATTGTGGTTAGCTCCTTTTAAGAGTATGAGAAAGTAGAAATATGTCACTTGGGAATTATTTTTAATTAATTTTTTATATATATGACAGCAGAATGCATTATAATTCTTATTACACATATACAGCACAATTTTTCATATCTCTGGTTGTATACAAAGTGTATTCACACCAATTTGTGTCTTTATACATGTACTTTGGATAATAATGTCCATCACATTCCACTATCATTTCTAACCCCATGCCCTGTCCCTTCCCTTTCCACCCCTCTGCCCTATCTAGAGTTGTCTATTCTTCCCATGCTCCCTCTCCCTTCCCCACTACCAGCCTCCTTATATCAGAGAAAACATTCGGCATTTGGTTTTTTGGGCTAACTTCACTTAGCATTATCTTCTCTAACTCCATCCATTTACCTGCAAATGCCATTATTTTATTCTCTTTTATTGCTGAGTAATATTCCATTGTGTATATATGTATAGACTGGAAAACTTTTGAGAGTAAAAAAGTACATCCTGTTGGAGCAGCAGGAGTAAATCAGGACTGTAAGTCAGTGTATTAGGATTAGGGTTAGGCAAATTTTGGAACATATGATTGTTCTAACAATAAAACATTAAAAATGTATGAAAAATGATTAATATTCATGCAATAAAATTTCAGATTTGGAAGAAAGTAACCTTTAGCAAGATGATCAGGTCAGGCTTTATGGTAGTGGGGAGAGGCTTCAGGAGTCTTTGAAATATCTGATAATTCTTTGGACATAGAGGAAGTAGGCATTGAAGGCCCACTGTTAAAGGGGAAGAAAAAGGAATGAAGATGGGACAAGTCACAGTACTTGAGGGGTTAGTATATAGAAGTTTTTTAGAGTAGATGGTTCATAAAGGAGATAAGTGGTGCATAGAGTTCTAAAGTTGAGCATAGATTGTGGTGGGTGGTAAATGCTGTATAATTCTCTATGTGTTACAAGCTGTGAAATTAAATCAACAAACATTTCCTGAACAGCACACCTAATTATATAAAACACTGTGCTAAGTACTGCTTATATAAATGGAAATAAAAGCAAAGCCCTTAGATATTTACAATCTAGAGACAGTATCAGACTAATTAGCTATTTCTATCTATTATCTGTATACACACATATACACACACATAATACAATAAGTATGAGAAATATTGTGGATTCAGTGTATAAAAAGAGGGGGAGAAAATCTTTGAGAACCTAAGGAAATTTCTTGGAAAAGGTAGAATTTGAAGTGGGTTTTAAATGAACTTAAACTCTAGTGCCTAGAAAATCACCTGGCATGTACTAAATAGTTGTTGAATGGATTAATGAATGAATAATAGTAGAATTTCTATAGGTGGATATGGGTATGAGGCTGAGTAAAAGGTCCGGAAGAGTATAGAGTTTATCTTTTTAAATTTTTTTTAGGGGGGAAGGTGGCACTGGTGATTGAACTATTTAATTACATCCCCAGTCCTTTTTAATTTTATTTTGTAAGATAGAGTCTTGCTAAGTTGCTAAGGCTGGCCTCAAACTTGGAATCTTCCTGCCTCAGTCCCCTGAGTCACTGGGATTACAGGTGTGTACCCAGTTCCAGCAATAAAGGATGTATCTTTGAATAAAGATGAGGAGGCACAGAATGTGTTGTCTGTTTGGTATTGTACTAGCTTTCCATCACTGTGACAAAATACTTAAACAAAGCAAAAGTTTATTTTATCTCGTAGTTTTGAGGAGTTTGGTCCATGGTCATTTGGTTTGTTGCTTTTGGGCCTGTTGTGAGGCAATATATCATGGTGGGAGCACCTGGTGGAAAAAGCCCTCACTTCATGGCAGCTGGGAATCAAAGAGAGGTGAAAGGGTCAGAATCACACTCTCTCTCAAGAGCATCCCTCTGATGATATAAATTCCACCCCCTGGGCTCCATCTCTTAAGTGTTTCACCACCTCCCAATAGTGTCACAAGCTGGTAAGCTAGCCTTTCAACATATGGGCCTTTGGAGTACACTTATCCAAACTTTAACAGGTATATAACAAGTAGTTCAGTTTACCCTAAACCTAAAGGTATGGGTAGGAGAATTAAAACTGTAAGGTACTCTAAGTCCCTTGGGAAGTTTGTCATTATCTGAAAGCCACTGAAGAATTTTGAATAGAGTACTATGATGAAAATGATTCTAAATTAATGTAAGAATGTGTAAGGTGTATTAGAGAGAAAGCCTGGAGGCAGTGAATTCAGTTAAGACACTATTGTTCTCAATCAGATGTAAGTTGATTAGGATCTTAATTATAATAGTGACAATGGAAATACAAAGAAAAAGATGAATTTCAGAAGCATTAAAAGGAATATGTATCTATATATTGTGAATAAAAAAAGATTATGCTATGGTTTGGAGTTGGTGACTGGGAGAATGATGGCACCTCTAGAAAAAAAGAGGGAAATCATAAAGAAGATTTAATTTTATGAGGAGACTGAATAGTAGAGCTAGATGTATACTTCTTATATCCCATTATTCTCTTTCTTGGATTTTCTGGTATGGTCTCTACATAGAAAAGAGTTAACATAACAGGCCTAAATGGCTATCCTTGCAAAGCCTGTTTGCAAGGTTGACCTTTGGTTGGAATCTGAGAACAGATTTCAGGAAGGTTCCCACCATTAACTGATAACAGTGGCTCACTGTGCATAAACTGTTTATACAAATAATGTGGTTTATGTGAACACCTGCTTTTCTTCTGGGATTCTGGAATTTATATGTCCGACAGGGAATGCTTGGGGGTGATTAGTCCCCAATAAACCCTGACCATTGAGTTCCAAATGAACTTTCCTCATTGGTAACATTTCATGCATGTTGTCACAATTGGTTATTTAATGTGACCCTTGTGTGGAGAGGACTCTTGGAAACTTGTGCCTGGTTTCCCTAAGACTTTGCCCAATTGCTAGGAGTAGGACTCAGCTAGGAAATC